TCTCAAAATAAGTAGTATGACCATTGTTTTTACTATGGGTACTTTTCATGAATTTTACATTGATTGCATACTTCTACAGATATCTCTTTGGGAATGTGTCCCACTGAATTGATGAGGATTAACTTTCAAGAAAGTGTAGATATAGGGTTGCTGGCAAAATGAATACAGCAGATATTAGCCATAGAAAAAACGTGTAACAACTGACTGGTGAAACAGAGAGAGAAAACTTTGGGGAGCAATGAAGTGAGGTAAGAATTCCTTAGCTTAAATGGAACATGTAATGAAGGCTCTAGCTTATGCTCACAGGGAGGAGAGAGGTGAACCTTAGCACCAAGTTTAAGCACAAGAGCATTCTCTCTTTTTTTTAAATCAAAACACTCCCATTAAAGTGGATAACAGTTTTTTTCTATATTGTTTATGAGTAAAATGACATTGGAAAAGATGCAGCAAAATATTCTGTTTACTGATGGCTAACACTAGCTTTAGGTAATTCAGGGAATTGGCATTCTATTTTTATGGATCTTGTTTGATAAAATCAGTAGGAAAATTGGTTGTCTAAAAAATGAAAGAAGTTTCTGTGGAGAATTGCACAATGGGACAAATCAGTGGTTCTCAAATGGTGGAGCTGGATCTCCAGGGGGGATGAGACTTGGAGGCCCTGATCCTGCCTTCTCTTCTTTCCAAACTTTTCTTTTCTTGGAGGGGAAGATAAAGGCAAAGAGTATGCTTGGAGCCTCATTAGTATAGGATTCTTCTTGTCAGCATTTCCTGACATTCGAGGAATACATTTTACAACCAGTTTTTGAATATTTTTTGACATTCTTTCCATCCCTATGCATTTGATTGTCTGTGTAGTTCTCTGATATAATGACAATACTTATGCAATCCCTGGTTGGTTGGGATTATATTGAGATTGAAATGCATAGAATTTGAAAAGAAAATGCATAGAATTTAAAAGAATTTATAATAATTATATAATTTCTGCATGGTCACTTTGGCCAAGAGGTATCACAATTTATGTGTCAGCAATTAAACAGTGAAAATCTGGCTGATTAGCAAATAATAGATTTTATGATAAAATAAAATAATGTATCTTTATTTATACAAAAAGAAAGCATCATTGCTTGTCCCAGTGAGTATGCTACCTTGGGGGACGGAGTATAACAAAAAGGAGTAAATCCATTTTAGGAAATTTCAAACAATTTCATATAAAAATGCAACACTTAATACTGAAAATTCTTCAGTATTTCTCCTCCTATATAAAATTGAACATTAATGTTTTAACTCCAGAGAATAGCGTTCAAATTCCCACTCAGCCATATAAATCTACTGGGTGACCTTGGGCAAGTCAGTCTCTCAGCCTCAGAGGATGGCAATGACAAACCCCCTCTGAACAAATCTTGCCAAGAAAACCCCATGATAGGTTTGCCTTAGGGTTGCCATATTGAATGCACACAACAACAACAACAACAACAACAACAACATGCTACAGTAAGGATTTCAGTATCTGGAGAAGCCTCTTTGAATTTGATAAATGTATCTAGGACTCCCAACACACACAAACCATATACATTTTTTCCTGTAATTGTATCAGCTGGTTGAATTTGTAGAATCTTCTGGATGTTTTTTTTTTAGTGTTTTGTTGTTTTACAATTGAAATTGACATAAATTTTAAAGCCTTTTCTTTTTTGCTAAAGAATTTCAATGTGTGCCACTTGTTCTGCATAATCATATGCTATGAAGAATAAACAGTAAAAGAAAGCAAACAACAAAAGAAAATTTTATGTATTTCTCTCTTGACAGGCAACTCTAATGATGTTCGTAAGAGAGACTAATTAAAAATGAACTCCCCCCCCCCATATCAGATGTGTGTTTGTAACTTGCATGTTTTTAACACTGTAATGGATTACTGTTCCCCTCCCCTTCTCCCCACAACCCATTTAGCTGACATTTAAAGCAGAAGCAATTTCCATTTATGCCAATTACCCCTGCCAACCATGTGGAGATAAATTAGAGATACTGTTATTATTAAGCAGAATGAGTGTGTTCATGTTAATATGTGTGAGCCATGGTGCATGAGACTGCTGGTCTCTCGCAAGCAAATGCTGAAAATAATCTTTTGCCAAGCTGATAGAACAGAATCATGGGGAGGAGAAAAGAGGTTAACAAGAAAGAAGAGGGTTCCAACTGCTAAAAGTAATTATCTGACCTATTCGCATGAATTAGGTTTACCAGAAGGATAAAAATAAGGACTGGAGGCAGAATTCTCTATCAGCTACGTAGCTATGTAAGTTAAATACCTATATAGTTTCTCCAGACCGACCCATCTACAATCCCCATTTACAGGGCAGACCAGGCAGTCAAGTGGAAGAAGGAAGGCGATCAGCCATCCCTGCTCTCCCTCAACCACAGAGAAAAAAGTGACAAAACTAAAGAAGGGAGGGGGTAGGGATGGGGATGGACTAAAGGTGGGAGAACATAGGGGAAGGGAAGGAGGAAAACACAGGGAGGTATAAGAGGATGGGTAGGAATGCAAACAAAAAACAATGGGAGGAATAATATAGGGCAGGGGTAGGCAACCTAAGGCCCGGGGGCCAGATGTGGCCCCTCGAGGCCTTTGGATCAGCCCCAGGCCAGTCCTTCCACCACCGCCACCCCCCGCCATGATGATATTTATTATTGTTGTTATTACTTGTTCTTGGAGTTTTCTTGGCAAAATCTCCACAGGGGTTTTGCCATGGCTTTTCTGGGGCTGAGAGAGTGTGCATAAATATTTTTTTATATTTTTTATTTTTTTATTATTTATTTATTTATTTTTGGTGCTTCGGCCCCCAAATTGTCTGAGGGACAGCAACCTGGCCCCCAGCTCAAAAAGGTTGCCTACTCCTGATATAGGGAGACAAACAGCTACTGGGCAGCAGCAGTGGGGTGGGTGTCACTACAGGAGTGAATTGTGACATTGGTTGGCACTGAGCACAGGGGGATGTGGTGGCCCTACTTGTGTAACCCCATCACCTAGTAAACCCTATGATGAGACACCCTAAGTGAGACACAATCATGATCAGAGCATTATCAGAAAGGGAAGGAGGGAGAGAAAAAAGCATATCACATTTGCAAGATTAGCCAAGGAAAAAAGAAAGATGTCAAGACAAATAGCAGACACTCTTAGGAAGGCAAATGACATCCAAAGCCACATTACACATAAAATAGGGACAGGGAATCTGAGGATCATGAACCAGGGGAAGCTGGACATAGTAAAAATGGAAATGGAACACATGAACATAGCAGTACTGGGGATGAATGAGATAATAAAGAAAGGAATGGGTCACTTTGAATCAGACAACAATACAGTGTTCTACTCAGGGATGAAAAGACAAGAAGAAATGGGGTGGCTTTCATATTAAGAAAAGATGTAGCAAAAGCAGTAAGTGGATACAATGCAAACTCAGACTGAATCATTTCAGTAAGGCTCCATGGTAAACCTGTGAATTTCACCATAATTCAAGTATATGCACCAACCAAAGAGGTAGAAAAGGAAGAAATTGATAAATTCTATGAAGGAGTACAGGAAGAAATTGACAGCACACCAACACAGAATGTCAATCTGATCACTGGAGATTGGAATGCAAAACTCAGAAGCAAAGAAGAATCAAAAACAGTAGGCAGATTTGAATTAGGCAAAAGAAATGAAGTAGATGAGTGTCTGATAGAATTTTGTGAAGCCAACAACCTATTCATTGCCAATACATTTTTCATACAACCAGAAAGAATGCTATACACATGGACATCACCAGATGGCCATCACAAAAATCAAATGGATTATATAATTGGAGGTAAAAGATGGTGGAACTCTATGCTGGTGGCCAAGACTAGACCAGGTGATGACTTTGGCACAGATCATGAATTACTCAAATCAAAAATAAGAGTAAGACTCAAGAAGAAAACAAAACCAGTAATTATAGCAAAATATGATCTAAATAATATCTCAACAAAATTTACTGACAACATTAGAAACAGATTTGCACTACTAATAGACAGAGAATCAGAGGAACTATAGTCTGAAGCCAGGGACATAATAAAAGAAGAATGCAGACAGACATTTTCAAAAAACAAAAAGAAAGAGAACAAACCATGGATGACAGAAAAAACACTGCAAACAATAAAGAAATGAAGAGAAGAAAAACAAAAAGGAGATTGGAACAAACTGAGAATTAGGAATGCAATGGTACAATTACGGTACTACAATGACCAATGCAGAAAAATATAAGACAACAACAAAAAAGGGAAGAACAAGAGTTCCATTTTACAAGATCCAAGAAATCAAAGGAAAATTCAAACCAAGGACTGGG